ACCCTCAGTGCAAGAACTATGCGAGACATTGGAGAGTAGAATCAGTCTGTCGATTTCTGCAGAGCTTAGATCATCTTCTTTAGCATGGGCCGAGCTCGCACTTGACTCGTGAAGAGAATGATGAATGCTAACTGAAAAACTAAACCCCCCAACTCTGTAAATCAATCGACTCGTTTACAACATTTGATATTGTTCCCCCCCTCCCTCTAATCTTGGCGAGTGAGTGTGTTTTGAGTTCCTACGTATTGCCTATGTTCTTGATTAGTTTGGTTGTTTTTTTGGGTGTTGTTCAAAGTGTTTTTGTAAAGGAAGAGAGGAACATAGAGTTTATGAAAAAATTTCTGTATAATTTGAAAATCTATGAAAGGTTAAAGAATGTGATCATGTTATTATCCTATGTTATATAGAGTCCTAGCGAAAATCCACGTGCTGTGCGGAACAACTATTTAGATAATTTTTAAAATTATTTAACATCATATATATATATATATATATTAACATTAATATACTTAAATGATGTTTAAAATTATGCTCACAATTTATATTTATAAAAAATAAAACATTATTTTCAAATGTTTAATATGAAAGTAAACCATATGATGATACATATACAAATATTTTTATTTGAACACTATATTTTCAATTTTGCTCTAAATTTATCGTATTCTTCTTGGATCTCTTTGTTATAGTTCGTGTCCACTGGTGGATGAAAAGATAAAAATTATATAGTAAAATATGCAATAATTCATAGATAAATATATAGGTAAAACAAATTAGTGAAATTTAGTTACTTTTGAAATCTAGTTGTTTATATTATCTAAATTTATATAGTTTCCACAATGTTTTTCAAAAATGGTAGTTTTTTATACAACTTTATTTTTATTCATGTATTTATGGGTATTTGCATAAAACACTCTATATAAAAATCAAGAATCAAGATCGTATGTGATATAAAAAAATCTTTATGTTTTAATGAAGATCATAATAAATTAAAAAAACGCTTTTTCTAATACTCGTTTAGTATTAGTTGCATAGTAAAAAAATTTAGTACAAATTTGTCAATGGTGTGTCAAGATTAGTTTTGCTTGGCCTAAACTTACAATATTATAGTATCAGTTATTGCTATTTCATACCATTTATTACATATTAAAACGTTCACATATAAAGTTTAATTGTAATACAATACATTCTATTAAATTGTTTCTCTCAAGATGTTTCCATACGTTTTAAAAAGTGTACTTACTGGACTTTTTTTAATTGCGGAGTTAAATTATTTTATGTGAAATTATTTTAAAATATATAAATTTTTATCGTGCTATTAAAATATTAATCTATTAAACATGATAGAAACTTATATAATGACATGCGATCCCAATACAAAAAAAAAATGAAAGATAATTCGATATTAAGTGTTTACTTTAAATTAATATATTGATATCATATTTTTATTTTAAAGAATCAATACAAAAACCCTAAAATCTAGAGAGACTAATGTCAAAAAAATTTGTGTTAATAACAAAAAATGACACATGACAACTTCTCATGAGTTGGGGTTAGAAAAACCTTAAAATATTACATAAACCTCATGGTTATGGATTATGTTACATAGCTGCCTGCATACGATCTAACGGTTTCAGAAACGGTTCATTTTAATAATTCTCTAGTGACCTAAATTCATATATCTGTAACAATTTATGGAATTGATAAGCCGAATCAACTTCCATAAAAGGCCTACGTTTAGGCCCATTAACAGTTTCGAACTGGGCCTCTGTAAGCCTATTTACATGCTCGAAACTGAAATTGTCGTTTTCAGTGTAGTACGACTAACGTAAACCA